GTAAGAATTTTTAAGGTAGAACTTAGGTTTATCAAAAATTTCATTTATGTGACAATAATAACCATAATTAATAATAAAGTGGCACTTACTATGTGCCAGGCACTGTTGCAGATTAATTAATCCTCACAACAATCGCATGAGGTAGTTACTGTCCTCATTTTGCAGATGAGACAACTGGACCATAGAGTTTGGGTGATTTGCAGATTACACAGCTTGTAAGTGCAGAGCTAGTATTAGAAGTCAGGCCATCTGCTCTGGAGTCTGTTTTCAAACTGACAGAAGATTAAATAGTTCATATTTTCCCTAGGATGTGTTGTTGACCCAAAAGAGGAAAAAAGAAAACTTAAGACCTAAAGGTTAAGAAAAAGTAGTCATCCTGATTGCATATGATAGGGCAGGAGTTATTTTCTTATACACTGTGATCTATTCTGAACATAAAATCATTCCTGTCTGGCATTGTTTTTCTTGCAACTTGAATTACTTTGTTCCAGTACTCTCCTGTGCTGTCTAGAGTTATCCCTGTTGTGTTTGGTAGTATCAATAGTAGAATCCTTAACTGGGCACTCTTGGCTGGTGCTGAGTCTGAATGCTGCATTATGTGAAAGAGCCAAACTTTAGGACACATTAGGAAGATATTTTATTCTTTGTTTGAGTGCATGTGGGTGGTAGAAAGAAATGGTACTTACACCAGGTCCCACATATTTGGCAAGTGAAGGTATAAAGCTTTCATGTTCTTTATCGTACTGGAGAAGTTATTGCGGGAAAGGCATGCTCTCTGGGGCTTGTCTGAGCTTTCATGCAGATCACATCATATGGTTTGAATGCCACATTCATGGGCGTTCTCAAGAAAATATGGCTTAACCACTGTAACTTCAACTTGAATTGAGAGCTCTGAATCTAAATATGTTCACTTTGTCTCTGCTATTGCTTAGCTTTCCATTTGTAAACTTAAGAGGAAAACTTTATATAGAAGAATCTCTACAATACTCATTCCCTAATTATGTCTTACTAAACTGGATTTCATTTTCACATATCACATATTTATTGGTTCTTTCCTTTGTGCTGGGCAGTTTATTAGTTGTTAGGGATCAAAGATAAAATCCATTTTCTATTTTCAAGGAACTGAGTCTAATAATAGGCAATTACAATACAGCATTATGGAAAATATGCATTGAGAGAAAAGTTGCAGGGGAAGGCGGTATCCACAGTCTAGCAGGACCATGGTGTGATGACTGGGTTTCAACATCTGATTCTTTTCTTAGGTTGAAATTGGTTTATCAGATCTGGAAGTGACTGGACTCTGTAGTGCTGAGTCACACACTCAATTTGCTAAGAAACTGCTATGTAAAACCCATAATACTAATGTATTAACTTAAGAGAAATGATGGAGGGTCTAGGATAGTTGAGCTTGCTGATCCTTACCTTCTCTGTGTTGATCAAATTACAATGAAAGCCAGATCCAAATTATAACGATTGTTTAGCACAATGGAATGGAAGCAATAGAAATGAGTTTGGTGCTTTTAACAGCTAATATTTCAGGCCTGATGCACCCCTTTCCACTTGAGTCACATACCTGCCTTATGTTCTTCATAGGTTGGATTGTGCTAAAAATACACTGTCATTTGCCTTTCTCTTCTTAAAGTTTCTTTGCTGACAAATATTTTTTGATGTGGAACATTCTTTCATTAATGGTAATACCATCAATCAGGTATCATCTTTGGAAGATATTTTGCTTTTTATTTCGTTTGCAGAACGATTATGCTTATTTTACAAATTTACTGCTTTTTAAAAATTGTGTTAAAATATATGTTAACAAAATCACCATTTTAAACAGTTCAGTGGCAATAAGTACATTCACATTGTTGTGCAGCGGTCACTACCATCCATCTCCAAAACTTTTTCATCTTCCCCAGCTGAAACTCTGTATCCATTAAACACTAATTTCCCATTTCCCTTTCATCTCAGCCCCTGGCAACCACCATTCTTTCTGTCCTTATGACTTTGACTACTCTAGGTACCTCATGTAAGTGGGCTCACACGGTACTTGTCCTTTCGTGACTGGCTTATTTCACTTAGCATTAATGTCAAGGTTCATCCAGTGTGGTAGTATGTCTCAGAATTTCCTTCCTTTTAAAGCTAAATAATATTCCATTGTGTACATACACCATATTTTGTTTATGCATTCATCTGACAGTGGACACTTCGGTTACCTCCACCTTCTGACTGTTATGAATAGTGCTGGTATAAACGTGGGTCGTACAAGTATCTTTTCAAGTCCCTGCTTTCACTTCTTTGGGATATATACCCAGAAGTGGAATTGCTGGATCATATGGTAATTGTGTTTATTTTTTTGAGAATTTGCCATACTCAGATGACCTTATTTTTCAAGTGTGTGGGGTCTACATGTTTTGGCAGTAGAGGGAGAGGGTGAATTTCTTTGTTGCTTCCGTAAACTCCCTATGACCATTAAGCACCATGATAGAAGCATGCGTTTGATAATTCAAAGGAGGGACAGATGTTTCAAAGCAGAATCACTGTATCAGGTTTTCATGTAGTAGCTGGTATACTCGTATTTTCCTGGGCAATAGCCAATAAATCATCTGCTCTTCTGTTTCCATTTAAAAAATTACAAAATGAAGAAGATAATGCATGCTTATCTTGCAAAATCTTCAAGTTTTTCAAAAAAGTGTTGTCAAAAAATTTATAACTATATAGTTGGAAAGTCAGAATATTTATATATTATAAAATTCCTCTCATATTTTAGAGTTCATTCTAGTGTTAATGATGTAGTTTCCTTACTTATATTCTTGAATTTGAGAAGAATGTATTTTTATCAATGTAATTATGCAGTTAAAGGACATAGTAATAAAATTGGCTTATCTGCTAACTTAAAATTATATAGAACTTTAGAGCTACAGGTTGAGCCACTTTCATAACCATTAGTTGTTTATTAAAGACTTGAATGAGTCAAGAAATAGAATAAATTACACTGCTATACTGAACATAAAATAAAATCCAAATATATTTTTACTAAACTATTTTTTAATTATGAAATATTTTAGATTATGAAAAAGTGTCAAGAATAATATAGTCAACTTTTGTGAACCCAACACCCAATTTAAGAGCTAAAGTATCACCCAATATAGTTGAGCTTTCTGGGTACTGTATACCCAAGATATTCAGTATTCTAAATTTGATGTTTATAATTCTTATACATTCACCTGTAGCTAAACAAAAGCTTTTAAACCCCATATAACAAACTATCTGCTGAATCATTTTTAACTGGAACTGAAATTAGGGAGTAAAATAAAAACCTGAGACATCTCACTTTTTGACATCAAGCAAAATAAAGGGTTTATCTTTGCTATTCTCTTACCTACCTTACTTCCCTGTCCAGTGCTACTCAAAAATTCCTTTTATTTTACCTAGACTTGTCTTCTCACTACTAAATTCGTTTACATTTCCAACATCAATATGTAATATCCATGTAACTGTTTTGGGAATTACACTTTTCTATCTGTCCTGTTAGAAAGATTATTAAACTGCATTGGTCTATACTGGGTTGCTGCATTTGTCTTTTGCAGGATTAGCATGAGGGTATTTTGGAGTCATATTTACTAGTGATATATACTAAAATAGGAAACATACTATAAGAGAAATATATTGCATGAGAAGATTCACCTTCAGCTAGACAAGATGAATCAATAGGCTAAAATCTAACAACATGGGGATCTATAGAAAAAATAAGAAATCTTAGACTCTGTTTTAATAAATCCATTAAATAAGTACATGAAGGGAAAGCCACCATTGAACAGCGCTACATGTTGGGACTTGAGGTTTTAGAGACCATAAAGTGAATCAGTGATACGTGGCTCTCAAAATAGCTAAAATAATAGGCTGCATTAAAAATAAAAAGTATCCAGAACAAGGGAAGTGGTACTGTTGTAGTGACATCACATCTATCACCTCTTGTAATTAGCTTAGGGCTATATAATAATAAATTGCAACTTACAGCAAGCAGAATTACCAGGATCATGGGAGAAATTTGAAACCATATCATATGGAAAATGGTGAAGGCTCTGGTAATACTCAGTGCTGTTGATAACAGTTTAAAAGGTAACTAATTGAGGAGTTATACAGAATAAGGATTAAATTTTGGCTCATTGTAAAACATGTTATAAATTCCATAACAAAAATGCAGCCTTGTAAGTTGTAAGTCTTCCTTTCTTAGTCCTAACACAGAACTGAATAGAGGTGTCAATGAAACTGAATAGAGGGTTGATGAAAATTCAAGGTAAAGGATGGGGCTGAATTATAGCCTCTAAGATCTTTTTCCAACTCTCAGCATCATATAGTTTTGTAAGGCTAATTCATACAGATATTAGTTAAGGAGATAGCTATGCCCCTTCAGGATCTTTCTAGTTTAATTGACAATAGTGACATAAACCTAAAAAATACCATTCTATGTTTAAAAAAGAATAAAGGATGGGGCAAATCAAAAGAACACAGGAGTGGGCTTCCCTGGTGGCGCAGTGGTTGAGAGTCCGCCTGCCGATGCAGGGGACAACGGTTTGTGCCCCGGTCTGGGAAGATCCCACATGCTGCGGAGCGGCTAGGCCCGTGAGTCATGGCCGCTGAGCCTGCACATCCGGAGCCTGTGCTCCACAACGGGAGAGGCCACAACAGTGAGAGGCCCGCGTACCGGGAAAAAAAAAAAAAAAATTCCTACAACAGAGTGGGCCCTCAAATATCTACTGAATAAATATCTTTAAAACACTGAAGGGCAAAAGTAGGGAAGACAGCAGAAGACCTGTATTAGAGGCAGATTTCTAACTCTGAAGTCTGTGCAAAAAATATAAGCCTTTTGAAATAAACTTTAAATGAAGAAAAACAAAAGAATATTTTTTAGCTACCTTAATTTTACAAATTCAGTTGCTTTAAAAAAAAAACTTGAAAAATTTAAGTGTAACTCGATGACTGATTTTGGAAAGCTTTTGCAATAACCTTACACCAAAGAAAAATTTATTAAAGTACAGATTACTGGTTATTTAAAAATACATGAGAAAAGACAAACATACAAAAGCATTATCATACAACTGATTTCTAAACTCAATACTTTTGAAATACAAAACAATGATCATTACCCCCAAAAGTCAGTTTGAAACAAATTGATTTTTAAGTTGGTATTATAATTCTTTTCACTCAATTTTGCTTACAAATGTTACTAGGTTTTTCAGTTTCGCCACATATACTTTTTTTGACATGTTTATTTCTCAAAGTAGAATATAGTTATTTCTTGCAATTAACGTCAGCAACTATAGAAAGCTTCTCTTAAGTCACAAGGATTCAGTATATACGGTTGCTGCTTTGGAAATAGTTACCATTCTGAGTTATCTATACTAAGACTCATGTATTGACAGGCAAAATGTTAATGGGCAAAGTATGGAGATTGAGAGCAGGATGACTAAGAAAAGATATCTTTTACTGCAGACCTGCTAAAAAAAGACTCCATTATTTACTCTGATAGTATTGCTAGAGAAGCAGTTTCTGCCAGATCACAGGTTGGCTATGTAGTTGTCCATTTTAAATTTCCATCGCTAAAGAATGGCAGACTTCAACAATTAGATTGCTCAACCAAATCAGCAGACCTTTAAGCTACCATATACTTTAATTACGAGAAATAAATTATTTTCTTAATTAGGTTAGCAGCCTTGTATCTGGAAAGGCAGCAAAACCCACTTTGTTCCAAAATTAGAAGGCCGACTCAGAGGCTGCTTCTAAGGTGCCTAACTATCTTCTATCATCAATCAGTCGTGAAGGTGGACCTTCATGAACTCAGTAACTTAATAAATGTAAAAATGAACTCATCTAAACACAATGTTGAGCCTGCAAAACCAAAAAAGTACATTCATAAGGTAGGAATTGGTTTGTATAAAACAAGAGGATATATATCCTCTTATATAACACAAAAGGAATATGCATGGTAATAAAAACAATCTATAATAAACTTGCAAAGAAATGATTCTGGTTTACATGTAACTCTGCTTAAACTGACCATGACTGAATGATTAAACATTTTCTTCTCTTAACATAATGCCCATTCATTATAAGCTAAGCTGGACTTAGTTTCTTATAAATCTCTTATTTCCTTGGATTTATCTACTACACCTTTACTTTATAGCCATTTAACTTATAAGCTGGGCCTGCCCAGCCTGCCTCTGAAGCCTCTCTACAGAAGGATACCAGATGCATTTAACAAAGGCATCTTCTCATAAGAATCTGCACTTCAAAACAGCAATATGAAGAACCAGCAATTGGCTCTCCAATGTAGCTACCTCTCATTTCACATTATCACAGAAACAGTGCAGTTTAGTAACCATTCCTTCCTTACAGAAAACTCAGTAGCTGTAAAAATTTTTGTTGTTTCAAAACACATTTCAATACTTATTAATTCCAAAGATCCGAACACCATGTAGCTGTGGCATTTTGGGAATTAGCACACTCAGAAGAGAAGCTGTGTTTAAGATGAAGTGAGTTGGATCATACTTCGTATAGAAACTTGCCAGAAAATATCTGTAGAAATACAAGTTAAGAATATATATATAACATCTAAAAGTGAAATTACTTAGAATTTTTAAAATATTTAAAGGTAGGAAAAAGGCCACTGAAACATAAATACCTAAAAGCAGAACCATTTCTTTGAGCACTAAAACAAGAGCAAAAGTTTTAGTTTGGGGGCCTAAATTAATTTTATTTGGGATTTAAACATTTGTTTAATGGAGGCATATATGCACATTTTGCTTTTCTGCAATCGTGTTAAATGTATTTAATGCAAGACAGTTACTATAGTCTTTAACGTAGAAGGCTTTCAAACTAGGGGTCATGTGCTTCCTGAAACTTCAGGTGTAGTTTTGTATCTATGTGTATATATCTGAAGAGAAAGTCCAGATTCAAAGCATCCATCATATTCTCAAACAGTTTTGTGACCCACCAAAAGGTTAAAAACTACTGCTGTAAAGTTGTGAAAAATGGGTGTTAGTGCATTAGTAGAGTTTAGCATCTTTGAAAGAAAACAAATACTTGACTGCCCTTTTGATGTTCTCATTTCCATACTGAAGTTAACAGGTATATAACCAGTATAACGGGAAACTTGAGAGACACTATTGTAAAATTCCAGCTGTTTTGCTATAACCGAACATATGTATATATATATTCAAAGACATCCAATATCCGAGAATTTGTTTTAAGAAGCCTAAGCCACCTTTAAGACCACAGATCATCGAGTCAGAATGCCTAGTTTGACCCAAGGGTACATCAAAATGAAGACACATCATGAGGCCACTAAAAGAGTATCCTAAAACATCATACCTTACTTGATGATAACTAAGAAGTTACTATGCACAAGGGTGTTTGTCTAATTAGTACTTTTAGAGTACACAGAAAAGTATTTTAATAGTGTTTCCTCTAAAGGAGTGATAAGTATCTTGTGTAATATGGTTAGAAAAGAACAGCTATTTTCCAAGTACAACTAAAAACATCAGAGAGCTGTACACATTATTTTCAGAACCATCTAAATTGAGAAATTCTATACTCTTCCACCTGTTTCACAAACTATAGTCAGAAAATTCATTCTTGAGAATAAACCATATTCCTCAATCCTTACTTTAAATCCTGTCTTCCTGCTTTCATATACTTGAAGACTGTTCATACTTCCTTAACTGAACAATATAGGATACCATTTACATTCAGTAAGCTCATTTAATTTCTCATCATCATTACAGGTTTAATCTGTAATCTGATATGTTAGAAATAATAAATCTTCTTGGAATGGCTTCTCCTCCTCATAGCATATGTCTCCTTTATGTCTTTTAATAAAAACTGATTGTGTGTGTGGATCATATGAAAATTACTTGACTCTTACAAAAACCTACACAACCCTCCAAGGGGATGCAAAACCCAGGTAGGAATCAGTGTGGTAGCATTTATCTGCCAAAGGGTATACTAGAAAGAGACCTGTATTAGAAGCTAGAAGTTTAGGGTTTAACCTGGGCTATTGATTCCAACTAGCTACAAGATCTGGATGAAGATGATGCATTTGAATCTGTTTATCTAAAAACCTGGGATAATATTACTCATCCTACCTACCTGACAAATGATCAAATAAGAAAATGTAAATGCACTCTGAAAAATATCAATGCTACACAGATGGCTTTAATGCTGTTTCCTCAGTTATATAAGGAATTTAATCACAGAATATTTAAAATCATACCTGTTTGTCAAAAGTACACTTTAAGAAATATGGGTGTTGTACACAGGTACCTCTTAGTTAGGCTTTTAAGTGATATCACCTTTTTTGTGATAGCTTCTATTGAAAATTCAGCATATGTCAGGCTTTTTACATGTGCAGTTGACCCTTGAACAATGAGGGTTTGAACTGCACAGGTCCACTTACAGATGGATATTTTTCAATAGTAAATACCACAGTACTACATGATCCACAGTTACTACACAATCCGCAGTTAGTTGAATCCGAGGATGTGGAAATGGGGATACAGAAGGCTGACTATGTAAGTTATACTTGGATTTTTAACTGCACAGAGGGCGGGTGCCTATAACCCCCACATTGTTCAAGGGTTAACTGTATTATAATGCAATCCTAAACATTTTATAGATGAGGAAACTGAGACTTTCAATAATATGGCCAAAAGTCACATAGCTAGAGAGTAGTAGAGCTAAGATACAAATTTAGGGCTGTTTGAATAACCATTATTCTTGTTATTGCATTAATCTTTGTTAGGCCATACAAATAATTTTTCTTTTGACATGAATTTTATGTGGGACTAAAACAATTAAAAACTTAAAAAATTTCCTCCCAAGTGCTATAAATATAAGGAAAAAGAAATCTACCACTTTATGATTACTTTATTCTTTTCATTTGAAAATGTCTTCCCTAACTTAAACACCTGTCTAAAACCTACCCTAAGTCCTAGTTTAAGGAATTCTAATGCCTCCAAGAAGTCTTTCCAGCTGCTGCAGACTGTACTGATTCTATAATGGATATATAAATCTATGTCTATATCTATATATATAGAGAGAGAGATATCTATATATATGTATCTCCTTTGTGGTATCGAGTGTTTGATTAGGATATATGCGAAACATCCATTATATGAAAGCAACTGAGTGTGGAATTCAAAGCAATCTATGTACTTATAAATTCTTTGCAGAAATAAACATAATAATAGAGAAATAATACAAAGTGACAATAAATAAGGGATATATAACAACTGCTATGGATTTCAAAGCAGAGCATTATCATTGAAGGCTGGTTGCTAAGGAAAAGACCTCACTGGTAAGGTCACAATTTAAATCTTGAAAGAAAAATAAGACAGATAAATTAAGAAAGGAGAAGGCATTTCAGGTGGGAAAATGACTTGAACAAAGGCATAGAAATAGGACTATACATGAAGTATTTAAGAAATGCTGCTTAGAAGAGTGTGACCAGGTAGGAGTTGGGTGAGGGTAAAATAGTCACATAAAGGAAAAATGAGGTAGGAACCATTTTGTGGAGGACCCTGAATATCAGGTAATAGGAGGAAATTACATGCCATATATAAGGTTAGATGTTTTACAGATAGGTATTATCTCATTTATTTCTTACAGCATCAGATTGAGTTAGGTACCATTGGCTAGAATTTTATTTATGAGCAAACCAAGCAGGCTGAGTGATAGGTACAGGATTCAGCCTGGGTCTGTCCTACAATGAAAGCCTAATCTCTCTTTTCTCTAAACCATACTGTCTCTCCCAAGGAGTCGGAACATCCAGATGTGGCAGGTGGTCAATGAAATTCATCTGAAATCATCCAAATCCTTGTTTATGGAGATTAATCTGATAGTAGAATACAGAACAAGACTATGTGTTTAGTATTCTTGCAAGCAGCTTAAAGACATGAACTAGGATATATTTAACTTGTATTCTAGAATGTCTTGTCATACTGATAAACATGTAAGGTTGTCTCCATATATATTTGACTGAAGTGAAAACTGGTTTATTACCAGCTTGTTAAAAATTTTGCCTGTATTTTATAATCTCTATGAAGTAGCAATTTACTGATACAGGTTTTCAACAAAATATTCTGTTTCTATTTCAAATTTAATCTAATAAAAGGATGGCTTCCTCTCATCCAATCCTCCTCATACCTGAAAATTTCCACCACTTACAGAATTATTGGAGAAATTGTGAAAAACTTCCGTGAAGATGTAAACTGTACTCCATAGTCCAGTTGTTCCCAATGAGTTAGGAGCCTCGCTTTACCCTGGTCAGGAGTTTCAAATGGTGTTCCTTTTACTGCATGCAAAAATACATACATCCCCTGGAAAACAAGCAAGGGGGTATATAATAAATATCAAATACAAAATTAGTATTTGCCAGTTAGCATTAAGACAGTTGCAGACTGTGACAGAGAGCGTGATTAACTTGACAGCTCAAGTTTTAAGATTTCATATTGTGAAAGACTGGCCGGTTTCTTCAGAGTAAAACAAAACTTCCAGGGGCTTACGTGCAAATATTATTTGCTGAAAACCACTCTAAGTCAACTAAAAGTAACCTGTTTTCATCTCCTATTAAATTGAAAAGAAACGAAAAGTACCATCAGGGTAGCTTTGCATCATTACATTTAGATTTTCTAACACATTTCCTGTTGGGAGATAGAATTACCTTTTCTCCAATGTGTAGGAAAGTTTAGAGTGTCATATTAGTAAATCTGATGATACTTATAAAATGATAAAAACATACAAGTTGGAAAATAATAATAAACAAAATCTCTGTATCGGGGAAAATTGTTTTGAAAATATTTAATATTAGGACTGTTTTTGTCTCAATAGTTCTTTTCCAAAGCAACAAAGATGGTTTGATGTAGTAAGTATAACGTTCAACACAATTTACTTTTAAAATCACCACTGTACCTCAATAGTCTTTTGAAGTTAGTTTTTAAAAATCAAAGTAAAAAACATTACTAAAAGCCATTCTGTCCAGCGATATGTTTAAGCATCTAATTTTGTGGTTAATTAGGGGAAAAAAACTAATGTATACTAGATGTGGTTTACTTGAGATGCCCATTTAGATTGATAGTTAATGCTTCATTGCAGGATCACTGTCTGAGGCACTGGTAACAGAATAAAGCCTATATATGGTCATGAAACAGCTTTACTTATTAAAGTCATGATGTGATATCATTTTTTTTACTTCAACTTTTAATAAATATATGAAAAAAATAGAAATATTAGTGATTTGAAATTTTACATTATTCTACTAGGTTAAGAGAGCCCTTCTTTTCAAAGTTTAGTCTGTCTGCTTCCTAGTTATTCCATTAGGCAATTTAAAAGTTGTTTACCTACAGTAACACTTAAGCAACAGAGGAATGGATTCATGTTCAATTGGATATAACTCTACAAACATTTAATAAGTGGCTAATATATACAGGACACAGGACCTATATGCATATATGAAATTGAACAAGACATGTCCAATGCCTTGAAAAAGTTCAATCTTCTAAGAGATGGTAAGAAAAAAAAAAAGATATGCATAAACAACTACAATGTAGGGCAGAAATTACTATCAAAGGTACAATCAAAGTACTCAGGAAATGCAGAGGAGGGAAAGGTTCCTTGTTGCTGAGGCTAAAGCCTTGATGGTTCCTTGTCACCTACCTCAGTCTTGAAGGTTCAGCTCAAATGATAACTCCTTAGTGAAGCCCTTCTCATTAGCAATAATTAACCTGTTGCCTATGTACATATATATAATTTTATTGAAAAGACTTTTACTATAGCACAACATATTGTCTTAAAGTTGTTTACATAATGTTTGTTTTCCCATTAGCCTGACTACCTCAGGAACAAGGGCTCATACAAAGCAAGTATTAGATATTAAGCCAAGATGACATTAAGCCAAGGAATGTTTATTGTGTAAGCACAAGAAACCATTTTCACATGGGTTTTAAAAGAGACTATGAAACAGAAATTGTATGCTTTCAAATTCTCAGGAGAATGTGACCCAAAAAAGTTAAGAATCTCTACTCTAGACCATACATGTGTTAGAATTATCAAAGAGAAAGAAGAACAGTCCTCTAATTATTTACTTCAAACCACATACACTCACCAGTGTTCAGAATATAATATTCAAATAGTTTATGTATTTTTAATGAGTAAGAATAAAATCTTATCTAACCATTTATCTTCTACTCCATTTTTATTTTTAATAGTTTTTCTATAAAATTTTAGTGATGGATGATTTATACCCACATTAAAAGAATTAGGGAAAAAAGTATATATAGCTCATAGTTAGCCCTTAACAAATATTTACTGGCTCAAAATGAAGAGAATTCTCTTTCATTTTAAAAGCTAGGATAAGAATTTTGTGAAGTATTAAAACTTCTAAGAGTGAACTGTAGCACTGAGTAAAAACAATTGCTGTAGGTTTCTACTATATGGTTCAGAAAGACAGAGACCATGTTTTTTCTTTTTTCCCATATTTGGTCTATTTTCCCATGTTTAAAAGCATGCAGTATGTATTTCACATTTTTAATTGGTTTAATGTAGGCTAACTTCAAAAGAAATTTACATTTGGCATCATGTAATTGCCACATCTATGGCTGGTTAGTCAGGTTTTTAGTGGAGGACTAAGAAGTCAGAAGTTTGCTTCCCTACTTGTTCTCATTTCCTGTCCTTTGTCCATGGCCATATACTGTGCCTCAGTCTCAGTCAACCAACTGAAAACATGAAGGGAGGAGATGACTTCTAAAGTACATTTAATACATGTGCCACTGGAGAAGGGAAAATTATGTGAGAACAGACTAATTTATTCAGCAAACATTTAAATAGGTCTTTAGAGATAAAAACAAAAGAAAGATAAACTGCTAATTATAAAAGGATAATAAATTCATGAAAAAAATGCAGCATGGGACTTTCGTAGCTTCCTAGAAGAGGTGACACTTGAGTAGTTTTCCTGGAGAAACAGGAATTAGCCAGGCAGAGTAGGAAGGAGGAAGAGGTATTAAAATAGTGGAAGAAGAGCCTAAGCCAAAGCAAAAAGGTGAGAGAAGACGATTTTCATTATTGTAGAGCACAGCTTGTGTTTGGAGAGATGTTAAGATTGGGTCTCTTTCTTGCCTCTGTAGTATTATCAACTGGTCTTGTATGCCACACAAAGAACTTGGCATTTTACTATGAATGTAACAAGGAATCACTGAAGGACTTTAGAGTGTGACCTGAACAAACATGAATTTCAAAAATATCACCCTGCCAAATTGGAATGAAGGAAAGTAGAGTAGAGAAGCGTCAAAGAGACCACTTGATCTACTGGTGTAATCTACCTGAGGGGAAAGAAGAGCATAAAATTATAGCAATGCCCATAAGGATCAAGTTGAAGACAGTAAAGCAGTAGAATAGACAAGGCTTTGACTAAATGGATGTGGAATATAAAGGAAAAAGAGTTACCCTAAGTCTAGGGTGACTATATATACTAGTTTGCCATGGGTGGTCCTGATTTACACTTACTCTCTTGGAGTAGTTATTACTAGAGCTCTCTTTTACTCTCAAAACAGTCTCTGTTTGGATAATACATTATATTAATCACTTTACCTCTGACATTCAGCTGTGTGGCTTGGCTTACTGGGCAGATAGTGGTACCTTTAGATTAGATTAGGAACAAAATCCAGGAACAGATTGTGGTGGGTGGTAAGGGATATATCAGGAATGAATTCAATTTATACTTGTTTGGTTTAAGGTACAAGGTGATCTGGCAATATTAATATGGTCATCATCATTTAACAGGTAGAAACTGAAAATACAGATAGATGAAGTAACCTAGATAAAATATATATCATAAGAAGAGATGAAGAAAAGAACCTTGAGGGCTTCTCTGGTGGCGCAGTGGTTGAGAGTCTGCCTGCTGATGCAGGGGACAAGGGTTCGTGCCCCGGTCCGGGAAGATCCCACATGCCACGGAGCGGCTAGGCCCGTGAGCCATGGCCGCTGAGCCTGCGCTTCCGGAGCCTGTGCTCCGCAACGGGAGAGGCCACAACAGTGAGAGGCCCGTGTACCACAAAAAAAAAAAGAACCTTGACAACAGCAATATTTAAGAGAGGAAAAGAGAAAACCGTGCAAGAGGAAATAGTAAAGGAAAGATCAGAAATATATCTAGGAAAAAGCAATCCCATGGAAGCCAAAGGAAAAGAATTCCAATAAAAGGGATATGATTAGTGTCAAATATTTCAGAGAAGTCACTATTTAAAAACAGTGTTTTTAAACACTTCCTTCCAAAGTCTATCACATAAAATGGACTAAAGGGACATTCACTGATCTCTACCACATCATCTTTGTCATCCTCCAGTCAACTTCAAATGCTTTCCAGAAGATATAAATAATATCAATTTTTTAAAAACCTATTTCTCCTACATTTTTCTGTCTTAAAGTTCTAAGCTCTTCATTTTGGTAAATCTTTAAACAAATATATAGTTAATCTGGATTCAATTAAAAGTCTCAATTAACCAGATTTCTCCCCTTTCATTCTACTTTAATAGGCTGTTAAAGACAAGAAAAGTCACTATCATGTTTTGTTTTGTTTTGTTTTTAAACAGGCAATTTCCAGGGCTGCATAATATGGTCAGTAGAGTCAATCTAACCTCTGGTACTTTGTAGAGCTATCATATAATACAAAAGAGCAATAGTCAACAGGAAGAATCTAAGGCACCATAAGTTTCTGAATCATATAAGGTATGATTAAGCTCAAAATTTCTGTACTGAAATAGAAAAGTATATATATACAATTTAGAAAGGATTTAAGCCAAAGATGTTCATTAGACTCCAGTTAACCAAAAAACACAATTACTTCCTCTGATACATTTTGGTTAATCAATATATTATAGTGGCCTGAATTACAGTGTCTTATAATTTTTGCTAAAATGCCCTACTTTTTTTCAGATTTTACAAAACCAACAGGAGAAAAAAATGTCTTACTTACAAATAGGGTCCAATGTTTAAATATAAAGTGATAGGAAAAATATAATCTTATTCCAGGTAAGAATTCTTCAAAATTGTCATATATACTAAAAATCACTGAACTGTACACTTTAAATGGGTGAATTTTATATCTCAATCAAACTGTTTAAAAAAACTGAGTCATGTGTTTTTCTTCTTGTAACATAAAACTTTAAGCTTTTTAAAAAACTGTGTTTAAATACACTAACATAACATGGACCATTTAGCCACTCTTAAGCTTACAGTTCATAGTATTCAGTGCATTCACAATGTTACACAACCATCACCACCATCCATCTCCACAACTCTTTTCGTCTTGCAAAACAGTACCTTCCCATTGCTGCCTTGCCCAGTCTCTGTAAAACCATTAAACCTTAAGTGTTCAGTATAAGGTGAAATTCTTACCAGATTATGTATAACATTTGTTAAGGTCCAGGCAACAGGAACACTGAAGAAGGGAATACTGAGTAAAACGATATGAAGCAAGCCAACTCCCAAAGCATATGTCAGCCACATACCCCGGCTGTTCATTACACGGGTATTTGGATTCACCTCACTGTGGGCAACTCCAACATTCATGTTTGCGCTGTAGGAATGCAATGGGATGAATCAACACTGATATAACTGGAAATCTAAATATTCCTAATTCTGACATGACAAAATAAGTGTTACTGGGATTATTTTTTTACCTCATCATTCTGAAATAGAACAAACAGACCCTCCAAAATATGCTACTTGCAGATGCTGACGAGGGCAGTAAATAATTCTTAACATCTAACTCCCCAGTAAGACAAGCAAGACTTATTTTTATGCTTCTTGTTGAAAAAATAAACAGTTAAAATGCCTTTCCTAAAGCTTGTCTTCAAGCATGTTTGTTTTACTAAATGAAGTAATGGGCAGGAAAACGCAAACTGAAAGAGAAAACCTACATTTTCTTAAGAGTGTAAAGTGAAAACTCAGGAGGTAAATTTACCAACAGAATAATATATTAAAAAGCAAAGCTGACCTAACCAGTCTGTTCTGAGTAGCCAGACTTACATTTAATGTAGTGAGTGTTGTGTCCATAGAGTGGTCAGAGTTCAAATCACTCCTTTAAGAGTACTGAAGCTGCGAAGAACATAATGAGGTGGAAATTTTACATGGTCAAGGGATAAGGTTTGTTTCTCAACCTAGTGATACAATTAGGTTTAAACAAGGAGTCTTTCTTCTGCGTATTTTAACTCTAGTCACCTTCCCTAAAACTTTGGTTTTCTCTCATTCTTTCCTTCCTTCTTCCCCTCCCTCCCTTCTTCCTTTCTTTCTGAGATTGGGGGTGGGGGGAGCAGAGCATATATTTCGAACAGCTCTGATTTAAAAATATATAAACACTTTCTATTACAGAGTTGGCCCTGAGAGAGGAATTTCTCCGAACCCCGTCCATCAAGTGTTCCGGAGTACAATGGCCCTTCTCCCTCCAAAAATCTATAGGCTTACGGTGATGAAAGTTGGTTGCACTGAAACAAAGCAAAACCTCAGATTTAAATGTGTAGAAAGTCCCTCCAATCCAAACATCCACCGTGCATGTTACATTCTTTTTATACGCTATAAGTTATACTTAGAACGTGCCTCCACTCAAGATGCCTTTCCCATTTTCGACAGGATAGAAAAAAAAAAAAAAAGCTCGAAAGTAGGCTTAAAATTTACATCTGAGCTGGAAGGCAAAGACTGACTCTATCCCAGGCCAGAAAACCCTTCCACGGAGTCTGCCACGCCACTTCAGGACTGGCAAACAATGACTTCAGAGAGCGAAGAGCCTCTCGGCTCTGCCCTCGCGATGCCGGGCGACCCACAGCGACGCCCCCTCCCCCCCGCTGCCATCACCGGCAGCCTTCCCCGGCGGCCGGAGCTCCCAGCTACTGGAAGCTCAGCAAAAGCCGCCGCTGCTGTGGCCACAGTGCCCCCCGCCCCGCCCCTTTCTTCTCGGAGCTGCACATCCCGTCAGGGCCAGGACGCGACGACGGGGATTTGGGGGGCAAGCCTTGGGGGCCACTTGGCCCGCACGTCCTGACAGGGCGCCGCGGACGGAGCAGGAGTCCACTCTTTCCCTTCAAGCCAACCCGGGCCCGCCAGCAGCTCCCCACTGCCCGGGCAGCAGCACAGTCCCGGCGGCCGTTCGTGCCCACTCACCCGCCGCCCCACTCCCGGCGGCTGGCTCGGAGCAGTATCAGCTCCGCTGTGGCTGCAGTGCCGACGGCTGCGCCTCCTCAGGCAGAACGCGAGTGGTCAGCCCCAGCGCGGCGCGGCGCGGCGCGGCGCAGCTTGCGGAAGCTTTCAGGGCGGAACGCGCTGCCAGGGCATTGGCTGAGGACGGCGCCAATCACACGTTCGCCAGGCAGGGCGGGATTAAGGGCGGTGTGCTCGGTGCCTGCCCCGCCCCGCGTACGTTGTGGGTGAGTCGGGGATCCGCCAGGCCGGGCCTGGGCTCTGGGTGGCACGCTGGCTGGTCTGCTAGTGGATTGTTGTTGCCCACCTCGCGCGAGCAAGAAGGTAGTGTCGTGTGGCTAACGGGTATTCATTCTTATATCGTAAGCTCGAGAGCCTCCTCCCCTCCACTTGTCCCGGTCGGGGCGGGAGCGCCGGCGGCCGCAGTGGGCGCCCCTCCCCCCCCCTCGCGGGGCGGGAAGCGGACGAAGCCCGGCTCGCGAGCGCGCACACCTGGAGAGCGGTCTCCCAGCAGGTGTGGGCTGCTTAATGTCTGATTTGGACTTCCCTGACTAAATGGTGTTTAGGCCTTTGTTGCAGCCCATTCCTCAGATCCTTCTGGGTGCAGATCTTAAAGTTGTTTGCCAGGAAGAAACTTTAACCCCTGACGGCCGTAACTCAGCCTGTCTAGAGTGTGAGTGAGGGGTTTTATAATATTGTAGGTTGTGGCATCATGCAAGTGGCAGAAGCAAACTTTTCGGTTAACCATGATTTTTACTGGTGTCATTCTGGGTCTGTCTACACGCTGAAGACAGGTACTTGTGTTATATGCTGAGGAAATGTGGGGTTTTTTAATTCATATTGCTGAAATAACTTACAATGGCTTTTCAAAATTGGTGTAAGAGAATGTTGACTGTATATACACATATATGTGTACATATATTGCATTTCTAATGGCCTTATAAAACCAATTAGGTTAGATTTATTACGTTTTTTTAAAAAATAATTATTTCATTGTGTGCTTCCTAAAGTTTATCTATGAGTTCTCTGATCTTTACTTCTTTTTTAGGTACACTGTTAGCCTTAACTGAATTTCTTGATCGTCAGCACTCTTTCAGTAGTGTTTGATTTACCTCTCAGCAAATATAGAAGACTGATTCCTGGCATTCTTAGACATTCTTTGCTGTGAGTCGTAAGCCTGATATCAACCCTTCCACTTTTCAAAAGATGCCGTTTGGTACACATACGGTGGAATGCTTGTTATGTTCCAGAGGTTGTGCTAGGGATATGAGATGAATATATCCTCAGAGAACTCTCAGCCAGGAGGAAGGGACAGAAATCCAATACTTAGAATAATCTGTGATGAGTTTGGGGTTAGAAATAAGGAAAAGGTGCTCTGGGAGTACAGAGGAAGGACTGCCTAATCTGTTGGGGCAGGGGTTGGAGCTGGTAAGAAAGGCTTCCTCGAGGAGGTGATACTTGAACTAAATCTAGAAGGATGGTGAGAAGTCATCAGTAGAGAAAGGAAACCTTATGAGCCAAGGAAGGAGTCACTGCCATCACATTAAGAGAGACAAGTTGCATAGTATGACTGGCCTAGTGTGCATTTGGAGAAGAGTGGGATGAGATTAGAAAGACAGAGGTTCAATTGTAAGGAGTTTGGATTTAACATAGTTAGTAATTGGAAATATTTATAAAATTTTAAGTAGGATAGCAACATGATTAAATGTAAATTATAGAAAGAATCCTGTAGGTGGTTGAGATTCCAGGCAAGCTGTCAATTAGCTGGTTATTGCAATAGGTCAGGGGAAAATTGTTGAAGGGCTGAACAGAGGCAGTAGCCATAGGGATAGAGAGGAAAGAACTAGTTTGAGAAATATTTAGGTAGTAAGAGAGGCAGGAGTGGGTGGCAGGATGTAGAGAGTGAGGAGAATTTCAAGGATGACTCAAGGTTTCTAATTTTGCTTTGTGAGACTGGATGAGCATAGCCTTTGGAGTCAAACATGACAAAATATGCAGGTGTGCATCTGTCACTTAATAGTTGTGTGATCTTGGAACAAGCGATCAAGCTTTTAAATCCTGTTTGTGATAGAGGAATGACACTAAGCTTGTTGTGAGGATTAACTGGAATAATTATATATATGAATATATTTAAGTAACTTATGTTAGCTGTTATTTTTATTATCAAATAAATATAGCAAGAAAGACACTTAATTAGAGAAAGATCTGATCTCTTTAGGACATGTTGAGTTTAGGGTGCCTTTCGGTCATCTAAATGATGATATTTAGAAAGTAGTTGGAAATAAGGCCCTGGATTCTAGAAAAAAGCCTGGTTAGGAGATACAAGTGATGAAGGGGATGATATGGAGTCCAGTTAAAATAGAATACGTAAAGGGAAGGAGTTAAGGCAATGGTGACTTGATGGGAAGGAGGTCACTTTTCCTAATGTTTTACCTTGGCATGAGGTAGGTGCCGATAAAATTATTTTTCGTGGCCACTTCATTAATAATTATGAAGTACTCACCTTGAGTGAAGTACTCTGATTACTCTGTGTTGCATCCAGAAGTATATAATTCCGTGCATTTAGAGGCTGTATAGGTCAGGACAGGGGTGTGATAAGCAAGCCAAGTTCTTTCGGAATGGGAGGAAAGGGTCATTCCTGGCTGGGTGATCAGAAAGGACCATGTTACAAATGATATTGAAACCGGGTCTAGAATGATAAATAGTATTGCATTAGGAGAAAGTGGAGGTGCAAATAGGGTGGGATTGCTGGCAAAGGAAGATTGAAGTTTTTGACTTGGTCACTAAGAACGGTGAGTTATTAAGAGAAATAGCAAAGTTAAGTGGGAGGTATGGAGGGCGGAACAAGAAGATAAGTTCTATTTTATAAACATTTTGAGGTAGTAGTGACACTGATTGTAAGAAATGCCTGTCTTAACTCGGGAAGAGAGAGATCACTGTTGAGATGTAGATTTAGATGTTATTCTATAACATCTAAGTTTATAGGTTTTGGGTATATAAGAAGAGGGGAGAGGGATTAGGGAATGCCCATTTTTCTGGGAAGAGAGTGAAGAAAACACGAAGAGATCCAAGAGTTATTGATGGATGGTATAATCCTTGAGAACAGGCAGTATCATCAATGTCACATGCTTCAGGGATATCAAGGAATGTGAATCCTGAGAAAAGGATTTGATGATTTAATATCTCATTGGTGAACTTGAAGAAAACAAAATCCTAACAGTGGTTGTGTAAGCTATTTTGCAAGGGTTTTGGAAGTGAGTTGGTGATAGGGAATTGGTGACGGTAAATACAGGTTACTTATTCAAGTTTGGCTTCATAAAGAAAGAAGATAATCATAGAGTTAATAAGGTTGAGGGAAGAATTTTTTGTTTTTGTTTTCAAGACCAAGAGGCCTGGAGGAGGGATGGGACTAGATAAACTAGGTGAAAGTGTTAGTTTAGAAGAAAAACATTGGTCTGAGACTGAGTGAAGAAGAACATGGGTAGAGGTGGAGACATTTTAAGAAACCAAAGGACACAGTATGGTGGAGGAGGTAAAGTGTGTGAAGATAGAGTTGATGCTGTGGTCTGCCTTGATCTCAGTAAACTAGAAGAGGGGGAAGATTGGGATGAAATTAGGGACTTGCTGGGGAGAAATAGAAGATTTTGGAAGAGAGATTATAGAGAATGAGACAAAGATGATGAGATTAATAAAGAGATTAATTAATCTCTGCAGAAGGAGGGAAGGTTGAGGTGAGGCTAGGTTTATACGCCAAAGCTTGCTTGATAAATGTTTTTCTTAGATCCCTGGGACTCTCAAACTAAGGAAGAAGACTTCTTAAACCCAAGCCTAACCTGATACCAAGCACTGGGTTAGCTCCTGTGGGGCTAGGAGTTAGAAGTGTGTTGGGGGGTGTGGTATTCATGTAGTTTGGAGGAACTCAATTTAGTCCAGAGATCCTGGGATTTTTTAGCATGTATATGCCAAGCACCATAATACGTTGTATACATTATCTTATTTACTTCTCACCACAACCATATGATATCATTATTATCTCTATTTTAGGTTAGGTGATTGAGTTTTAGAGTTTAATTTTAACTTCCTCAACATTATATAGCTATTAGTGTATAATAATAATTAGTGGCATATTTTTCCATTGTGTTAATCAGCTTTGCCTTGTACAAAGCAAAATATAGTTATGAATTGTGAACAGTTAACACCATTCAGAACTCAGTATATTGACTTCTTCCCAGAAATGCATCCCTTAAAATTTTATGTAATCATTGTAATGGCTATACTCCATTTCTTGCTCAGTTACTTATTCTTAAACTTTATGTGACTCTGCTTGTTTTATGTCTTAAGTTGCCTGAGAAAGAATCCTAAACAGAAACCTTTTTATTTGGTTTGGTTTGTCTTTGGCATTGTTGTTTCGTTTGGATCTAGATTCCATAGGGTCAGATCATTATGTGAGCATGTAACTGGTCATGGTAAATTAAGGAAGTACCTAGGGCTCCTCCCCCTCCCCCCACCATTTTATTGTCAAATAAAATCATGACTCTAGAGGAATTGCATGTTGTCAAGCTAGTATTTTTTATTTGCCTGAAATCTTTTCTGAGTTAGGCATTAAGGTAGTTGCAAACCCCACTCCCTGCAAATTTTACATACATGATTTCCATATGAAATTTTTTTGTTTCTTTGTTTGAAAAGGTTTCAGACAAAGGGTTTCATGGCTAAAACAATTACTGGCAGAGAGATTTTGGGTGTACAAGTTGGATCGGCATGTAAAGGACCTTGAATGCCAGCATATGGTTTGAGCTTTATCATAATTTGGCTTTGGGGAGCCACATGATTAGAAAGATGTTTTAGACACAGTAGTGCATAGGATAGTAATCTGATATGATATGTCTGAGTATGACTAGTTTAGATTAAGAGTAATTCTAGAGTCTGGATTTCCTAACTCTAAAAGAGCTCAATAATTGAAAGAGATACTGTAATTCATCAAAATGTGTAGATGACTAATGATGTTCAAGTGCAACTGCCATTAAGTTACATGACTGACATTATCTGCATAACAGTTGGCAGCACCATCTGGTGATTCCTAGCCAGACACATCATATATTACACTTATTGCACAATTATTCTTATCATTCTTTAATTAGTAACATAGTGTGATTTACCAACAAATTTCTCTGTGCCTTAGTCTTATAATATGGAGATGATAATGGCATCTATTTTAAAGGGTATTCGTAAGAAATAAATGATTTAATACTGTATGTGCTTAACAGTAGACCCTGACATACAGTGAGGCTCAATAAATATGCGTTGCTATTATTGCTGCTGTTGTTGCTATCAGTTCTGTTAGGAATGTTTAACAATTTTTATTTTTACAACTTATATTTTATTTTCTAGCTACTCTGCTAAAAGCTAGAATGAAACAGCTGCCGGCAGCAACAATTCGCCTCCTTTCCAGTTCTCAAATAATCACTTCAGTGGTCAGTGTCGTAAAAGAGCTCATTGAAAACTCCTTGGATGCTGGTGCCACAAGCATAGATGTTAAACTGGTGAGTGTCCCTGAGATGCTGCCAAGTACTTTTAAAGCAAAAAAGGGTTGGATAGATGTTTTCTCATTACAATTATTACCTTTCTTTTCTTTATATAACAGTAAATTATTCTTAGGACATTGAACCCTTTGTCCTGTTTAAGAGTAAATTCTTAAAAATAAGTTTTAATTTAGATCAGTGTTACAGTACATTAAAGGAAATTATAAAGGAAAGCTTATTCTAAAGGACTCTATCACATAAAACATGAAATTAGTTTGTCTGTATTTTCTAATACTTATCCTTGGTTATTTGTGTTTACTTGTTTTATATATTCTCATTTGCATTTTGTTTTTTCTACCTAATCTTATTTCAGAACGGTGTCCCTTGTTGCTTCATAGTTTTCACATTTTTAAATTTAAGTGCTACATATTAAATCATTTGAGTTAATAATGACTTATGACTCTTATTATGATTTATTACAATTAGTCTTCAGGTCTACCTCCCCTGTTATAAGTTACTAGCTCGTGGAGGTAAGATCTATATTTTTTTGTGTCCTCTATACCTGTCCAGTATCTGGTACATAAATGGTAAATAAATTTGAGTGAACGTAAGAATACATTTTTTTGTAATCTCCTAATTATCAGATATTCATATTATTTCTGGTATTATGGCATTAGAAAGACTACTGATATGAATATCTTTGTAGGAAAGAGACCTTCCCTTTTCATATACATATGCATATATTATATATATGTTACCCATTTGCTCCTTGTAAAAGCTCTATGAATTAGCTACTGCTATACTCATTTTATAAATAATTGAGGTTCTGAGAACTTTCCCAAAGTCATGTAAGTAGTAAGTACTGGAGCTGAGATTGCAATCCAGGTCTTTATGACTCTAAAACTCATTCAGGATCTTTCCTCTATGCCAGTGGTTTTCATAACATTTGGGTGCATCAGTAATTTTAGGGAGTCTGTTAAAACAGTTATTGGGCCGCAGAATCTCAGATTCTAGGTAGAGCCCCAACTTTGTGTTTCTAACAAGTTTCTGGTTGATGCTGAGAACCGCTGTTCTATAGTCTATCAAACCGCTACTTTGGTTTTAAATAATATAGTAAAAGCTTTATAAACATGAAAAAATTAAATTAAACCGAAAGAAAGACATTTTCTTTCTCTTAGACATTTTATGTAGTCAGTTCAGTCTGATTAGAATACAGTTGATAATACTTAAATAGGATTATATAATTATATCTGACAAATTTAACTTAAGAATCTTAGGCAGGCAAACATATGTCTTGTTCTCAAAGTTCTTGGAAGAAAAACATAGTTTTTAGAAATCGTTTTACAGAGCCAACAGAAGTCCTCTTTAAAAAGTAAATTAAAGTACACATTTTTATCCTGCTGCATATTTAAGTCTCTTGACATTTGCCAGTTCCTGCTTTGTAGAATTTTAGAATAAACAAGTCTGTTGCTTTACATAATAAGATCTGTTTTATTATAGTTTCACACAGTAATAACTGTTCTGACTAGGAATGTTTTCATAATTAGTAAATTAAACATGTAGATATTATTTTAAACATATAAACAGATCTTTGTGTTATTTTACTCAAGTGCCTGCAGTTCTTATTTATATTGAAAGATTTGCATTTCTATAATTATTTTTCTATAAAATGAAGCAGACAAGCTATTCCCAGAAAGATAATTTTTAGATCGAGGGAGAGATAAGAAACTAAATCTTAGGTGTCTCCCCCCAACACCTTTTATTTCTAATTTATCTAAAAAGTAATGATACAGTATATAATTCTAGGTTATTAAAAAGTATTATTTTTAAATAGAGTCATTATAATTGGAGGAAGATTTTTTTTCCCTTTATAACATACATTTAAGGCCATACACATAAACTTTGTGAAGTAAAGCTTATGATAGAAGCTTGCTACCAAATTTAGAATATGGTATTCATAGAAAATGTGATCACTCTAGGAATTTATGCTTTGTATTTGTTATGTATGCATATTTTTAGTATTAAATTACCAATATTAAGCTATGATTTGTTTTTTTCCCTCCATTTTCAAATTAAAAACTCTGAGATTGCCAGTTAGCTGTATTTTCTCAGCAGTCTGTTAGGTGACTATTTGCAGAAAGAAAATTAGAAAGCTATAATGTAGCAGATTTTTATTTATTTATGAAAGCAATAAGTAGTTCAGGGACAAAGTATTAAAAATCAGATTGAATAATGATGATTGCTAGACTCTTGGTGGGTAGAACCAGCTGGTGTTTTTTGGTTTTTGTTTTTTTTGGGTTTTTTTTTGCGGTATGTGGGCCTCTCACTGTTGTGGCCTCTGCCGTTGCGGAGAACGGGCTCTGGACGCGCAGGCTCAACGGCCATGGCTCACGGGCCCAGCCACTCCGCGGTATGTGGGATCCTCCCAGACCGGGGCATGAACCCCTGCATCAGCAGGTGGACTCTCAACCACTGCGCCACCAGGGAAGCCCCCAGGTGGTGTTTTTGATGGTGATGGTAATCTGTTTTATTTGAGAGATTATATATACAAAAGTGTATATAACTTAGAAGAATATTTCTGGGCAAGTTTAAACATAAATTTAAACATAAATACCTATCATACTGAAACAATTCTAGGGAACCTTGAAGATCATACTGATCTCCTTATTTTATTGTTGAATCTGAGTGCAAGGAAAATAAGGGACTTGCCCGTAGTACCATAGCTAGGAATTGGTAGAACTAAGAATTTAAACTCTTACTTCTTAAATGTTAAGTTTCCATAAAAGATAGATAAATGACAAAACCATTTCACTTGTGTTACATTCTGTTTGTAAATGTGATAATAGTTTAATGTCCTTATATACTAAAAGTACTGTTTAACTTTCATAGGAGAACTATGGATTTGATAAGATTGAGGTGCGAGACAATGGTGAGGGTATCAAGGCTAATGATGCGCCCGTGATGGCAGTGAAGTACTATACCTCAAAAATAAGAGGTCATGAAGATCTTGAAAATTTGACAACTTTCGGTTTTCGTGGAGAAGCCTTGGGGTCCATTTGTTGTGTAGCTGAGGTGAGGTAATTTGTATTGACTATTTTAGTGGTTTCATAATAACACAATATTAGAATTAAGAGACAATTTACCCAGAATTTGGCAAAGAGTTTTTTTTTATTGCGTAAAATATACATTTTATTGTGTAAAATATACATAAAATTTACTATTTTAGTCATTTTTAAGTGTACAATTCAATGGTATTAAATACATTGACATTGTTGTGTAGGCATCACCACCATCCATCTCCAGAACTTTTTCATCATCCCAAACTGAAACTATGCCCATTAAACAATAAACCTCTATTCTCCTTTCCCCTGTCCACAGGTAACTGGTAAGTATTCTGCTTTCTGTCTCTATGAATTTGACTGTTCTAGGTATGTCTTATAATTGAAATCATACACTATTTGTCATTTTGTGTCTGGCCTATTTCACTCAGCGTAACGTTTTTAAGATTCATACATGTTGTAACATGTATTAGAATTTCATTCTTCTTAAGGCTGAATGATACTCTTGTATCCATTCATCTGTCAATGGACATTTGGGTTGTTTCCACTATTTGGCTATTGTGAATAATGCTGCTGTGAATATTGGTGTACAGATGTCTGTTTGAGTCCTTGCTTTCACTTTTTTGGGTATATACCCAGAAGTGGAATAGCTGGATCAAATGGTCCAATAGTCCCCCCCTTATCCATGGTTTTGCTTTCCATGGTTTCAGTTACCACAGTCAACCACTGTCGGAAAATATTAAGTGGAAAAATTCCACAAATAATTCATAAATTTTACATTGTGCACCATTCTGAGTAGCATGATGAAATTTTGTGCAGTTCTGCTCTGTCCTGCCTGGGACATGTATCATCCCTTTGTCTTGCATATCCACGTTTTATATACTACCAGCCTGTTAGTCACTTTCTAGCCATCTGGGTTATCAGATCTGTCAAGGTATCATAGTGCTTGTGTTCAAAGGAACCCTTATTTTACTTAATAATGGTCCCAAAGTGCAAGAGCAGTGATGCCAGCAATTCAGGTATTCTCTTACTGTGCCTAATTTATAAATTAAACTTTGTCTTAGGTATGTATACATAGGAAAAAAAACATAGTATATATAGGGTTTGATACTATCTGCAGTTTCAGGCATCCATTGGGGGTCTTGAAAAATGTCTCCCGCAGTTAAAGGGGGACTACTATAATTCTGTTTAACTTTTTGAGGAATGGCAAAGAGTGTTTTTCAGTGGTAACATTTATAAGAGGAAAAAATGGTTTAGTGATCCACTGACTTGGAAAATTATTAAAATTAAACAGGTATCTTAACTATAAGCACTTCTCAGAGCCTTTACTGTACTAAAGTGCATTGTGAATCTCTGAGGTTGGTGGTTTATAGTACAGACATTTCCTGCACTTACTTGACTATGAAACTCTTTTATTGAGACACATATCACTGTTATACTGTTGTGCTGTGGAATGCACTCTGGAAATACTACTCTAGTCAATACAGATAACTGGATTGTGCTCTAGAGATGTGCATTGACTTGAGCTAAACCTTAGCTAGAACTTTGCTCTTCTGATTGCTAGATGTTTTCAATTTCTATGAACCCTTAAGTTCAGTGCCTGACCCACTCCATCGCATAGTACCAATTATACGTCACTGCCTCTGGCCTAAGTTACATAACTAGTTTGTGGCAAAGCCCATCTAGAACCTTGATCTCTTCATTTCCATGTATCTCAGTTATGTTTGATCACTAGTTTCTTTGTGCTGTACTGTTATTCTGTGTGTGTTAGGCTCTGTTTTATAGTGTGATAGTATCTGTGTGCCAGTGAGTGACATGGTAATTGTGAGGCTCTCTTTAGCTACCTACGTTTGCCCAGTGGCTGTGTATCCTTTCTTTTGTGCTTAGGCTGGCAGACCCTGTTTGGGTGAGCGTGCACAGGTGCAGTAAAATGATAGGACTTTATACGTATTGTCCCAGAAAAGTGGCAAGGACATGAGATATTGTTGCTATTTCTTTATCTATTTAGTAGCCTAGTCTCCCCAGCAATGATATATTCTTAAGGCTTATTTTGGTTTTCCCTTGGCCCTTCTGCCTTTAGAATGCTGGCAAAGTGTAGATTTTCTGTTTTCTGTGGCAAGGGCCCCAGCTAGGTATTCACTTACTCTTTACTTCAGGACTCTGTAAGCTGATGCCTATGTAAGAAAGAAAAATTGTGGGTTGGGGAAGAGGTAGAGGTTAAAGTGGGAGGTTTTGCTATTCTGGCACAGAGGACTAAGGGCCCTTGCTTGTTAGAATCCAGATGTTCAGACATCACTAAAGAAGGAAAGACCTTGTCATTCGTTAAGTGCATTCTGCTTAATATCTCTATCCAAAATCTAGCACACCGTGTGCTTTCTCTATCTTTCTCAGCTCTTGCTTTATTTAGAGTTCACTGAGTCTCCAGATAGATTTTAGGGAAGAGCAACTAGAGGGTACAACTGGCCATTGCCCATTTTTATCCCCAGAGACTGTGTATGGGAACCTATAGCCCTAGAATCTTGTACAAAGAGTCTGTTTTTAAAATGGGGTGGGATTTGTACCAAGGAAGCTTTGAAGCTCCCAGTGCTAGTACTATTGTTGGAGTTCTCAGTGGCTATTTTAGAAATCATATGATTTGTTTGAGAATAAAAGTATTCGCTTTTTTAGCAGTCGTCCAAATTTGGCAGATAGTTATAGTTGTTAAGCCTTATTTTGGCAAGTATTGTTGAATAATACATTGTTCAGCGTTTCTGTATTTTCTATAAGATGTATACAATAACCTTTCAGAACTGAAGTTGGTCATTATCAACTTTGTCTGCTAGGTGGCAGTACTATACTTAGTCTTTTAAAATACATTGTACATCAGCCATGATTTCTCCAAATTTTCACTGTAGCTCTGATTTTAGATGGCAGTTTTGCAAGTCCTTATCCTGCAATACTCTATCTTGTTTTTTAATTTGATTACTTAAGCCCACTTGATATCTAGGTTTATCATTTTGCCTTGTTTTATTTTTGAAGCATTTGAATGCCTTAAGTATAAATATTTAAAATAATTTTGTTTATCAAAATCACAAAAGGAATAAAAAAATTGTCAAAGTATCACAATAATAGAAAACTATAAGCTTTAAAAAAATTATGTTTAGTTTACATATTGCAATGTCAAGTGTTTATCTTAGAAAATATTCCAGTATTTTGTGGACTCTCTTTTCTTGTCTTTGGGAAAATCACGCATAGATAAGTGTGTGTGTGTGTGTGTGTGTGTGTGTGTGTGTGTATTTATGTATGTATACTTCAGATCAAGATTTAGACCGTTATCAGCATCCCTGAAGTTTTCTGTCATGTCTGCTCCCATTTAGTACACCTCAAAGGTAATGGCTGTTCTGATCCCTATCAACATAGATTAGTCATACCTGTACTTGAACTTGATCTGAATGGAATCTTACAGTAAGTACTATTTTGTCACAGATTTTTTGATGATTTAGGTTTGATTGTTTCTTATACAGGGGCCTCTTGTATTAGTAGTGGACCCTTACCCACCTCATACAGGGCAACCTGCCATCCAATGACTAGTTGATGCGGGGTTGTAAAGGCCTTATTCCAATCCAGAAGCAGCTCTGCCGTGCTGTTTCTGCTCCAGAGTGCCCCCCTGGGGTCTGCCAAGGCCTTGTGACTATGGCACAGCTTCACTTCTCTTTCTGCCCTGCCCCCACAAGTGATCATCTCTGGAGCACTCGCCAGTGCTGGTCTCCATCTCAGTCTTTTATGGTTTAGTCTCCTTATCTTACTGATAAGGAAAACGAGGTCTTGTGAAGCCAAATGCCAGGTTTTCTCACCCCAACTTCAAAACACAGTCTAATAATCAGTCGGCTAATATTTCAGTATCTGCTGTATGCAGGGTTCTGTGCTAAGTAGTTTACTTCAGAGGAACTGTGCACAGTGAAGTAAATGGAATATGAAAATTGTGACCTGTTTAGAGACACATAATGTATCCATGGCAAAGCCAAAAATTCATTTACAATTTCATGCCTCTCAGTAATGAGTTTTCCACAGTAGGTCATGCTGCTTTCTTACTAGCATGGTTATAAAGGTATTTATAAGTTTAAAAATACCTCATATTGGGGCTTCCCTGGTGGCGCAGTGGTTGAGAGTCCTCCTGCCGATGCAGGGGATGCGGGTTCGTGCCCCGGTATGGGAGGATCCCACATGCCGCGGAGCGGCTGGGCCCGTGAGCCATGGCCGCTGGGCCTGCGCGTCCGGAGCCTGTGCTCCGCAATGGGAGAGGCCACAACAGTGAGAGGCCCGCGTACTGCAAAAAAAACCCCACAAAAAACCTCATATTAAAATAATAAATATACTCAGGCCCACAGTGCTCAATAGAGAGGTTATCAAGGGGTAGTCAAGTTAAAAATTATATGGGAGGGTTCTGAATAGTATTTCAGAAACACAGAAAGTAATACCTGGTTGTTAAGGTCAATTACATTTAAAAATTAAAAATTGTTATTCAGCAAGGCAAATTAATGAGTGCTTTTTTGGGGAAAAAATTCAACTTTTTAAACAATATTCTTTACCATTCAGAAAGAATTGAAGTTTCAGGTATAGAAGTTGCATGTTTATTTTAAAGGCTCCAACTTATTTTGAAAATCTTCGGATAGAGATTGCAGTTACATAATAAAAATTAGTGATTTGGTCATTTTATCTGCCAAACTAACTGATGTAGATAATTTAAAGTCATACAGATGTAAATCATCTCAGACTCGGTAGATTGATAATATGCAATTGGGATATAGTTTTGTCACACTGCTAAACAGCCATCACCCAAAACTGTTGAAATTATTTTTTGTTAGATTATTTTAAAGATGTTAATAATTTTAGTTATAAAAAGAAAAAATTAAGTAGACTTTCAGCAAAATTGGGTGAAGAAATTTAAAATATGTCTAATTCTGTTTTTTTATTTATACATTTTAAAAGAATGGGCAGTTTTCCTAATTTGTTAATTATAAAATGACTTCCAATCTTAAACAGTCCAAAAGAGTAAAAAAAAAAAATTTATATCTACAGAGTGATCTATTGGTATTTAAAACTGCAATTACTGCTTCCATAATCTGTGATGAAGGTGTCAGTGACTGAAACAAATTGATACGGTTTTTTAAAAATTGTATCATCAAGCATAACTTCTCTTGAAATTTATTGTTGTTTGTGGAGCAATAATCTTGGGATATTTGTCAGTCTTCAGTGTTAAATTCCTGATACTAATTACTAAGCATACTGACCAGAATGAGCTAGAGATAGTGAAAATCCTGTTTTGACCTGTTCATAAAATTTTTTAAGAAGACTCTTTGTATATATTCTTCCTGTTACATAATAAAACACACAATAAAAGATTTTATTTCCTTTTAGGCTGATATTTTGTATACATTATGTTAAAAATGATCTTTTTTTCTCCAAGGAAATGTATGAGAAACTCGTGTAAGTTTTTTGAAATAGATTTTAAATGGAGGCTAAATTACATCTCAGTTTTCAGAGGAATACAAAACAGTTTTGATTTGTTTTGTTTTCTTCAAATTAGAACACACTCTGGACGAAGATTCAGAAGCCTAATTATCATTTCCAAGAGTTTAAATAAGAGAGTTGGCCAAAGGCATAAAACAGGTTGACTTTTCCGAGAGCCAATTTTTTTTTAGTCTATAAAGTGCAGATAATGATTTGAGAGTTAAATGAAATAATATGTATTAAAGTATCTAGAATATGGTCATGTGCCATGAAGATGAAAGTTATTTTTATTCTGGACTTGAATGTGAAAAGTAGCATGCGTCTGTATCACGTAAGGTGATGGCGTCATCAGGCTTGCTCATTCTCTTGTTGGTAAGCAGTATTTCACCTTAACTTTCAAAGTTTATGCAGACTCCTCAACATTTTCAGGAAATCCTTTCTAAAATTTAACCGCCATTCCTAGGTAAATTCCTTCTAATTCTCACCAATGGTCTTTATTCTGTAGCTTAAGTTCACTTTTTTTCTCTTGTTTTTCCTTGGGAAGAATTAGAAGAGTTGCCAGCCATCCTCATGCATAAAACTCATGTTTATTGATTCATTCATCCAAATTTTTTAAAGTGGTTATAATGTGCTATGTGTTATTTTGATCTATCGAGTTCATTATACATTTTGTGATGAGATGAAAAGGGATGTATAGATTTGTTTTTGTTTTATGTTACATTAAACCTCCATGGCTGAAGGGGGGCAGAATGAGAAGCTAAGTCATTCTGTTTTGAAGATGGGAGTTGGGGTGCCCTTATTTGTGGTTCCACATAGCGAAGATGGGAGTTGTGATGCCCTTATTTGTGGTTCCACATAGCTGTAAAAGAGTAGTAGAGGGAAGCCTCTAGCTTCATTCTGCTGTTTCCTGCTTCCTGTTCCACAGTGTAGGATACCTCCTGTGTCCTTTAGAGCCATTGTGGTAGGGCTTTAATTAGAATAGGCACAGGATTTTTGAAACACTTGGTATATCCTGCTTCCTAAATAAATGCAGCCTTCTCACAAATAATAAAACTCTGCTAAAAGGAGAAAAGCCAGGGCCAAGATCTCCCTGTTGCTAGTCTCCCTCAGTGGACTATCTGGAGGAAGGCTCTGAAATCATAGTATAGTTATGCACAGGCAGGCAGGCATACTCACACAGAGAAAGAAAAAGACATTTCAGTGATCCATGCACAGTCCACATTTTAGCTGAATCATGAGGACCATTTACCTTAGTTTTCAGATTTGTGTTTTTGTGCCAAAGTATTTGTCCAAAAGTCAGCCAAAACAAAACAAAAAAACCCACAAAACTTTAATATGATTATCTTCAATGAATTTTTGTCAAGAGAGGATATTTTTTTCTCATGAATTGCTAGGATACATCCTAAGCTTTTCAATTTACTTTCTTTTTAAAACATTGAGAAAAATTGTACTTATCTAAAATTTAAATGCTTTTATGTAATTTTAACTTTTGTAATAGTACTATAATTTCTTGAAACTCAGTGACTGGACCAGACAGTCGGTTTTTAATAACTGATAACTGATATAACCTCTAAGGACTTCTAAAACTTCTTTTAAAATAAACCTCTCATTTTAAAATTATTTAAAATAAATTTATTTATTTCTTTTCTTGACACCACTAGATTCATTCACTGCCACAATTCCTCAATGTCTCTAGTAGGAAGCACCAGTAATAATTTGTAATATTGGAGATGCTCCTGATGGTGGAGTTGCTACAGATTCGAATGTGTTAGCTGCTTCACAGCTAACACATTCTGAACCTGTGCCTCATCCAAAAAAAGGTTTCCTGCCCAGGACACAGGGTCATATGATGAAATGAACTCTTGAAATACAATTTTTTGCTTTGAGGAACACTGTATTTCATGAATTTGTGAAACGTGCTTAGCCGTGTTATCTTTCACTGTCTTTTGAAGTGAATTGCAAAGCATTTCCTATCTAAATAAATTTCATAGTACCCTAAACATTCTAGTTTTTTAAAATTTGACATTGGAAAAAAATATTGTGTTCTCTTCTTTTTTTACCATAACATAAATGTTACATTATGACCACTAAGGTTCTATTTTGTTTTTTAGCACTTCAGTTTATCTTGGCTGGAGTATATTTATTATTCAGTAATGTGTTTAAAGGATGAACACGTTGATATCTGTAAAATGCCCTTAAGTAGTTAACACAAAAACCCATGTAACCTTATAAACTATTAGCATCATCTTCATCTTATCATCACCGTCCTCTTAAAATGATAGTGTAATCATTTATTCAGGACCATCTAGCAAGCCACTGGCAGGGTTAGTACTAGAACTCAGAGTTTCAGGGCTGCCTTTGCTCAGTGACACCAGCTTTAGGTCAGGTGGCTAGCTCTTTGGAGAATAGAAATAGAATTCAGTTGACCGTGGCATTTTGGAGAAGTGGTTGGTTAAATGTAGAATTGTTTTTAAAGGGACAATCATAGAGTAATTAAATTAGAAACAGGAAAGAAAATCTCTAGCAATTTCTGTCTTCTTTGTTTTAAACAAACTTTACTAGAGGAAATCACTGTTGGACACAATAGAGTTGGGATGTAGGTAGGAAGATTGAGATTGGTTATCAGGAAAACTTTTAAAATACAACTTTTGAACCATGGAATATATTTTTAGAAGAAGTAGAATAATCACTTAAGAGTATACAGAGGCTCACAACTTTGTTTCAGGTACAACTCTTTGAGGGAACAGTTTTGACGGAAATAGCAGCCTGCAGCAATGAGCCTCTAATAAGGATTTTATGGACGTCACCCTTAGACAGAACCTAATAGGCTCTACTAGGACTGTAAGCTAGAGAAACCAAATTTTTTTTGTGGTGACTCTGGTTTTCCCTTCATGGTACCGACATGTTGCACAGAGCCATTTGGCCTACCAGAAATCAGGGCATGGTTAGGACTTGGTGACAGAACCATTAAATGTAGACCCAACTGGACCTGGATGAGTTCCAACAGTGGAGCTGTATATTTGTGGCTTCTTTCTAAATTATATAGATTTATTTTAAGCTAGCTCTGCTGAGTTCATGGATGGCTGAGAAAGATTGCTCCCAGTTTTGGATCAACATTACTCACTAGAAATGTGAGGAGGCTACCCTTTTCTGAATCCACCCTGCTTTTTTTTTGCCAGCATTCCCACTCCCCACCTATGGTATTTTCTGATAATGGAATGTTTTACTACTGTTATAGCATGTACACTTCTAGTAATCTCACAAAGTAGGTAAATAGAAAGCTGAGGGTGAGGATTGCTCAGAAGAGTTCAGACATTCTTAAAATTTATATTTCTATGACTGTAACATCTTAGGAAATATTTTCATGCTGAATGGAATCCTTTTTTACATGTTTTAATGCTAGTTTTTTAATTAATAAAAATTTTACATTTAAAACAATGAGTTCAAAGCTTGGGTTTAAGAAAAAACTGCACATAAATATACATATATGTATAATTTATTTATTTTTATTCTTTTGAACCATTAACTTGAAATAGAGAAGTGCAGTTTTATCAGAATATAAAGGAAGGAGGGAATGATCACTTTACAAAAGGATTTTTCACTTTGCCAACAAATTTATGGGAATTGTCTGTTAAAAAGCAAGCTTCCCTAATGCAGTTGATTTGATTTTACAGATATAAGTCATTTAATACATACAATACAAATAGCCATTTCAAGTATACTGATTTGTGTACGTTTTAATTAAAGTAAAATAGTTGAAATAAAAATCGGTAATTTGCAACATAGAAAATGTAAGCTAGCCTATTGCTTATTAATGGAACTCTAAGGAATATTTCAAGAGAAATGGTTGTAAGACCTTATTAAGTAAAACTTCTATCAATCAAGGAAATATATAATTATTATTTTAAATCTAATTTTACAATAAGCCCACTGCAATAACTAAAATCATAATTTTATTAGAGTTTTTTTTATTCCAGGTTTTAATTACAACAAGGACTGCTGCTGATAATTTTAGCACCCAGTATGTTTTAGATGGCAGTGGCCACATAATTTCTCAAAAACCATCACATCTTGGTCAAGGTAAGAGAGAAGCTTTGTAGCATTCTTTGCCTTTTCTGTCTTGTTTGTTTTAAAAAAATTGTTTACTCCTTAAATTCAAGTGTATTGCTTTGGGTTTGTTTCTGATAAAGGCTGGTTAACTTCCAAGTGAACATTCAGTCTTACTTTACCTGCTAACCTTTTAAATACATAGAGTTGTCCTCAAGAGGAACTGTGTGAAAGACTTTGAGCGACAATATGGATTAGTTATTCTGTAAAACTCTTAAGAGCAGTTGTTTTACTATTGCTGGATTACTAGTGTCTTCTTTACACATGAAGGATAATATTTTCTTTAAATGCCTAAAACATTATTGATTTAGTAATCATGATAATAAACCGTCCTATCAAGATATTATGATTAAATAATTAATTTAAAATATACCTATTTATGGAAAACTTCAAACATATGTACAAGTAGATAGAATAGAGCAGTGGTCCCCAATGTTTTTGGCACCAGGGACTGGTTTTGTGGAAGACAGTTTTTTCACAGATGGGCATGGGGGTGGGGGTGGGGGTGAACTCGAGCATGGAGAGCGGCAGATGACACTTCGCTCACTCGCCCACCACTCACTTCCTGCTGTGCGGCCTGGTTCCTCATAGGCCGTGGACTGGTAGCGGTCCACGGCCTGGGAGTTGAGGACCCTGGAATGGAGTACCCATCACTCAGTTTCAATAGTTATCAACTCATTACTAATGTTTCATCTAATACTCTCAGCCACTTCCTTCCTTTCTATATTATTTGAAGCAAATAAATATATTATAAATTATATCGTATATAAATATAATAATATTCTATTTGTAAGTTCTCTTTTTTTTTACATTTTTTTTAACTTTAAAATTTTTTTATTTATTTATTAATTTTTTTGGCCACGCACACCACATGGCCTGTGGGATATTAGTTCCCCAACCATGGATTGAACCTACGCCCCCTGCATTGGAAGCGCAGAGTCTTAACCACAGGACTGCCAGGGAGGTTCTGTAATTTAGTTCTCTAGTGTTTTATACACTTATGTAATTTTAGTACGTTTTAATTGACATCTTATATTTTTAAGTTCCTCTACTACTTATTTACTTCTAAAGAAAAAAAATCTCTTCAGGCTTGAGTTTCACATATTTCCTTTAATCTTTTTCATGCTGCTAACTTCTGGTAATGGGATCTATAAATTTGAGAGAATATTAAAGATATGCCCTGTTTAGAGTCATGTGCAAAAGAATGATTAGATCTGAAAAGGGACTTCTGTTGTTGTTGGGGGTTTGTTTTTGTTATTTGTCCTTCCAATTTTGTTGTAAGTTCATTTAAAATTTTTGGGTTCCTCATTGTAATTTATCAAAGCATTATATATATATTTTTAAACATCTTTATTGGAGTATAATTGCTTTACATTGTTGTGTTAGTTTCTGCTGTATAACAAAGTGAATCAGCTATACATATACTTATATCCCCATATCCCCTCCCTCTTGCGTCTGCCTCCCCCCCTCCCTATCCCACCCCTCTAGGTGGTCACAAAGCACTGAGCTGATCTCCCTGTCAAAGCACTATATGTTTTTCTGTGGTTTCTTCCCTCCAGTTTTCATGTTAAATTATTGGATTTATTTTATTGTCAAATGACTTCTCTTTGTCTTCATTGAAATTTATTTTCTTGTATCTTAATACTGATACCAAATTTTCTCATCCTTTCTCTTATTTTATAAATCCTCAAATTAGTTACTTATTACTTTTGCCCATTAAGAATTATTTTTGCATCTACATAAAGAGTTAATAGGGCTTCCCTGGTGGTGCAGTGGTTGAGAGTCCGTCTGCCGATGCAGGGGATGCGGGTTCGTGCCCCGGTCCGGGAAGATCCCACATGCCGCAGAGCGGCTAGGCCCGTGAACCATGTCCACTGAGCCTGTGCTTATGGAGCCTGTGCTCCGCAACAGGAGAGGCCACAACAGTGAGAGGCCCGTGTACTGCAAAAAAAAAAAAAAAAAGAGTTAATAGGAATTCTTAAGAAAACACACTTTTTTCTCATTTATTCAGTTAATAAAAATGAGCTCAAGTCTAATAGTGATTTAATTTGATGTATTATATTGTACATGTTTTAATTAAAAGTAATAGATTGTGATTCTTTTTCTTTTTTATGTACTGAAGATAAAGACAAGGAGAAGGCATTTTTAATATTGTCCCTATTCAGAAATGCTCTGACCCCAGTTCTTGAGAGTTGAGATTAAGAAACCATTAGGAGATATTTGAGTGGCTAGCCTATGGAGTACTTTGAAGTAATCTAGTCACCTTATAAAACTTAACTGTATTTATTTTTATCTTGGTAGTAGCCAGTCTAATCTGGATGGCCAGTGGCTCTGCATCACTCATACTTCTCATGCTTTTCTGTATCCATTTCCATGGGAACTATGAAATAACAATCCTTAAATATGGTATCCTTCTGATCTTTGCCCAGTCGCTTATTGATTTTTTTTTTCTTGCTGACATGAGTCTTCTCTACTTTAGTGAGACCACATAAGCATATTAAGAAATTTCTACAGTCAGTAAATGAACCTTATTTTCTTTAGCATATTCCTTTTATCTTAAGAAACTACCCACTTAGAAGGTCAACATTTGCGAAACCAGTCACTGCCTTTTGTAACTCACTTTTTTCCCCCAATTACAGCTGGTTGCCTAGGAAAACAACAAAAAGTCAAACTCTTAGTTTCTTATTGCTCTATGTAGACATATAAAAATCCACAAGCACTTTCAAAAGTCTTTTACATTTATATTGCCTTAGTGCTGATAGTTTTTGAGTGATTGAATCACAGACTCACATTTCACCACCTGTCATTTAAATATTTTCTGTGTAACATAAAACTACAGTACAACCATCCTAATTAATACCTGTGCATTTAGGGTTCTTGTAGATTAATTTCTGCTGTGGTGTGAATATACTTGCTTAGCAGTTACTCCTCATATCATCTGATAGGATGATGACACCTGTAGATAGCCTAACTGTAGATGCAGGGACAACTTACGACAGAATCTTTCTTAGGCATTGGAAAATCCATTACCCCTTTAAAACATGTTTTAAAATGTTTAAGAATAGTTTTACTAGAGATTCCAGTTCTGTTTTTTCCAGATGTAGGTATTTGTTTTATGGATTAATTTAATCATTTAAAATGATTTAAGTGTTTAATAGAATGTCATTTTAAATTACCCTTCTGTTCAGTTCTAAGACGTTTTTAAAATTAACAAGAAATGTAAAAATAAACTTCTAGCTTTTAAATTCTTTTACCAAGAACTCTGACTAAATTATTTGTTTTGGCCGTATCTTTTTTCTGTCATCGCTTCTATTCTCTTTACCCTAGATAATCAGCATTAAGCTTTCTAAGTTGATTTACCCTCCTGGACAAATTCTTTTAACACCTCCTAGTACTTCTGCCTTAGGAATTTCTCAGATATCAAAAGTAGTATATTTAAAGTACTGTGATCAGGGTATATCCTTTCCCTACTCTTATTAGAGTTATTAGAGTAATGCATCATGTTCTTTGTAAATCCCTGCTATGTGTGATTGTGCAGGTGTTTAAGGATTTTTTTTTTTCATGTTGAGAATGGAACTTTATTCATTAAATAGTTTAAGAAAACTCTGATACAGTCAAGCAATCATACCTCTTTACATTAGGAATATAAATAGCTGCTTTTATAAATGGCATAACATAGAGTCATGTAAAAATATAACAGAGAGCATATTACAGACTGCAGTTTAATTCTGGTGTTTATAGAATGTGCTAAAGTTAGAGAGCTGAGCAGTTCTCTTGTAAAACATGATAGTATACTAGGGCCTCCTCCCTATTGGCCAGTATTACTTGGTACTTTTTTTAAGGATATACATTTCATTTGGAATCAGCAGAGTTTTCCATCATTAAGTTTTATTTGAACATATATATAATTCTTGGCTTACTGGTAATTCTCAGTTTGTTCAGAGAAAACAGTTTTAGCTGTTGAAGCAATAATTTATCAATTAATATATGGATTAGGTACAGTGTGGTCTTGGATGCAGAGATATATTTAAAAGCCAACATACATCTTTTCCTTTCATGAACACATATTTTGCCCTACTGATTTCTGCCTACCTTCCTTCCCACCAACTGTCCACAGCTACAGTGTATGTCATTATATTTGCACAGGCTAGTGGAGAACACAGGTGAGTGAAAGGAATTCACAGACGAGTGGAGAACACAGATGAGTAAACAGGCAATGACAGTAAAAAGAAGCCACCAGCTGCCTAGAGGAAGGTGAGCGAATTTTTCAGAAAAGATAACATTTGAGTTTGAAAATGGTAGTAAGGAGGGGTGAGAGCATAACCTTTCAATAAGAGAAGAATGATGGCTCTAGAAGATTTCGGGAGACCATTGCTCTCTGTGTAACAATGAGGGGGAAAAACACATAAGTTAAAATCTTGTATTTTTTAAAACTCATTGGAGAACTGTGTCACAAAGAAATTAAATGAACCAAGTTTAAGAGGAAGATGACCCTTCTTAGGTGCACCTAGGCACAAAGAGATTGGTGGCTGCTTGTATCCCTGAGAGCATTAACTGAGCCTGGAGGCATAGGCATGCAAAGGAGCAAGCCTACTATAGACAAGGGATCTTTTATGGCCCTAGGAGAAACCAGCTGAACTTTATTAGCCACATGTGAGCTGACATGACAGATTGGAGGATAGGATCCTCAAACACAGAGCTAGTTCACCCAAGAAGCCAAATCTCATCAGGACTTTTGCTGAGTAAGCAGTGGTGAAGAAAGTTGGGACTGAGCTAGAGAGAGAAATATCTTAAAGTCTTACAGTACTTAGATCCCGAAGCCTTGCTAGAGGCAGAGAGAGACCCGATTCCATCCTCAAGACATTTGAAACCAGAAGTGAACTGGAACTAAATAAAGGGGCAACTCAGCTCCAACCCAGATGAACTCCTCTAATTATATATTGAAGAGCTCTATTCTTCACTCTAGCTGTTTG